AGTTAGAAAGTAGCCTACTAAATGAATAGACAGAAAAGCTGCCCCACAAACCCAAGACCAAAATATAGCCCCCTTTGTCTGCTCGGACAGTTTTATGACATTCATGAACCAGGAAGTAGTCTGCTAAGATCTGGACAAAACAAGCAAACATAAACCTCCCATTAAAAAAGAAAACAAAACATTTTCTTTCCTTCTTTCTTTTATTCTTTATTTCCTTCTGAGGAGAGAAATGAAGCGCTGTTCTTTGGACATTTACGACACTCGTGATCTGATGAATAAGAAAGCCAGCTGAAGCAGAGCAACCAGCTCTGCCACCATCGGTTGCGTGCCCGGTGAGGCTGACCTTGCATTTCAACAAGTCAAATGTTTTCCCTCATAATAGGTGTTTTTATGGGCACATAAAAAAAAAAAAAAATGCTGTGTCCTCATCGTGGCATATTTCTCAGGTTGGGGCATGTCAGCGTGGCTCAGCAACATCCTTAAAATGTATTCCTTTGGTCAGTGGTTCTTCATGTGGGTTCGATCGCACCCCAGGGGTTCGGTGAATCAGTCTCAGGGGTTCGACGGAGCCTCTGCCACGGATGTTAAGACACACCCGACTCAACATGTCAGTTAGTTATGACACGCCCGCTTGGCCATCACTGGTTGGCTCATTTTGTGCACAATTAAAAAATCTATACTTTATACTTATACTAATTGAAATAAATATCCGAATGCCTATCATTTTTGCAAATATATAATATATTTTGCATGAAGTGAAATCGTCCTTTTGAATTCACAAGTTTAACAATAAATTGAGATCTGACTGCAGGTTCCACAGGCGAGAAAATGATGATGGAACACCAAAGAAAACAGTTTTGGTTCACGACAGGTGGTTGATTTAAATTAGGCCCCTTTAATTTTAGGAACATGAGGTGGACTCCAAAGGAAATTGAAAAGAAGCTTCAATCAAGTGTCTTTTTTTTCCGGAGTTCAAAATGTTTTTGTGACATGCAGAAATACAATTTTGTGTTCCCTGCAGCTTTTGATTCGTTGAAAAAATGCATATATATATATATATATATATATATATATATACACATAATAGCTCACATGGCTCTTTTGGGATCTAAGGTTGCCAATCCCTGTTCTAGACAGTAAGAAGTCAATTCATTGACTAATAAATTCTCCTTCCCCCTCACGGATGCTCACCTCCATAAGTAGTCCAAATATCTTCAGTCACCACATTTACTTGACTGTCGTATGTGGATAATCTCCTCGGTGATGGCTGTTGTCTCCCGTAGCACCTCCATCCAATATAGTGCAAGCTGAGGATGGAACATTTTATGGCTATTAACCATAAACTGATGAAAAACGACTTTGCACACTCCCCGAAAATCCTGGGCCTGGCGGAAGACAGTCTCTGTTGTCGAGTAGAATTTGGTATTTTAACGTGGTTCCTCGTGGGAGTACAAATGAAACAGTTAATAAAGGTGCGCAAACAGAAGCAGGTCACAGGATAAAATGTCAGGGCCACTTCCCATTCTGATCTCGTTCCCTCGTATTCAGGCCGTCCCCACATGGTATGTAGCCCTGATCCTCCCTAAAAAGAAGATTAACAATCCTCTGACAGAGACCTAATCTTTCTGAAAACACTGACTATTACCATTTCAACATGCTGCCTCGGAACAGTGGAAAATGAGTCTCAGGAATCCTGAATTGCAGTCTGTTCGTTTAGGTATGCTTAAAGAAAAATCTTGGCTCCTGAAGGCATTTAAACTCTGTCAATGTGTAGCAAAGAGCCTTTCACACTCTTACGAGTTAGAAGTTCAATAACACATTTTGAACTAAAGGTTATTTTTTGACACCATTGTGGTTCAAATTCCAAAATCATAAACGTGTCTAAATTTTTCATGAGTTTCAGAAACTTCGCCTCGTCACTCCGGTATAATTAGTCATATAGTTGCTTGTGTGTGTGTGTGTGTGTGTGTGTGTGTCATGAGATAACATTCCAGCCATTTGACCTCTTAGTGTTAGTTCATTCAATTACTTATTTGTGCTCCACGGGCCCCTCGACACTGCACTTTTGTTTGTGCTTTTACATTCATGGCAAAAGAAAAAAAAAGCCGCTGGACACACATTCATAACAAGGCAGGCCTCTTTTCGTGTGTATTTCTAAACATCCACTTCCAATTCCGCTGCTTCAACCCGTTTTCGGGAACGTGTGTCCTTCAGTTCATGGCACCGTGCAGCCAATATCAAGTGAACCCTTTTGACCACAGTGTTGCATCTGAGTGACAGGGCCCCTTTATAGTCCAAACATTTCCCTCATCACGCTTGTTGAATTTTTGAGAACGAGCTGTCTCGGTGTCCATCCATCCATCACAGTGTCTGTGCATGTGATTATCCTGTCGGGCTTTCAATCATACTCTGTTGACGGCACTCACTGACGCAACCCATCATTCAAATTATATTTAGAGAAAAGTACAGGCACAGGAATTGGTAATCCAAGAAGTGACATCTGGCCTTCCGAGCTTATGTGATTAGCAGCGAGCCTTGCCCCTAATAGCCTCCTGGGCGTTCTCTATTAGCTCTCTGGACAATCCATACCTGCAGGCCATTCATTGTCAGGTTGGACAAAAAAAGTACAGCCTGCTGAGCATGCCGAGTCATTAATATAACAAGCTTTAATATGTAATATGGGACACGCGGAGGTGCGACATGAGCTCTAACGCTTGTCAGGCTTTCTGTAAACCCTCTAATGTGCACGACAGCACCAATCCTACAGCCTTTGGACTAAGACCAGATGAGTGTAGAGATAGCGGCACTGTCCGAGCAAAGCCAGACTAGAGACGAAAATGGAACAGGAAGAGTTTGTTGAAATACAAATGAAACCATGTACATTAGAAGAGAGAGATGATAGCTTTTTACAAGACTAATCGTGATCACCGCTCAGGACGAAATGACGAGGCATTTGCCAATGCCCTCTGCTTCCTGCCTACATAATCGATTCCATAAATGTGCATGCTCTCCCCTAATGTCATAAGAATGTGTGTTCCGGCTTTCAGATGAGGACGCAAAAGAGACAAAAGAACTGTTAGGACTCTTGAATGGACAATCATTTTTAAATTTTTAAAAAAATATTTATATTCGATATATTTCCAACTGGATCCCACTGATGTGCACGAATAGACAAATGTTAGCGGGACGGGGCTACGACCCGAACAGTATGAGGTTTGGACCCTTAAGAACACGTTGAAGATCACGGGACACAAACTGGCGACCAGAAACATATCCTATATTTTGGGTCTTGAGAGTCTCAAGCAAAGACCAGCGACAGAGCTACTGCCATTTAGTGGTTGACAATTTTGATGGAACTGCCTGCCTGGACACAGCTCATGTTTTTCTATAAGTCAAGTCAAGTCAAGCCAGCTTCTATTGTCAAATATGCTCTACGTGTAACATACATCACAGATGACATGACTTTCCTCTCTCAACCACAGTGCAAACATGCTGTGCATTGAACACACGCAGCTAAAATGTACATAAAATTACATAAGACATACATATATAAATATGTTAAATAAAAATGAAATATATAAACTATAAACTTTGCCGCAAGTGAAAGAAAAAGGAAAAAAAAAATACAGTGCAACAAATGTACCTTAACTTTGTTGATTTGTGTGCCCGCAATGTCTCAGGTTAGGCCTGGTGAAATAAAAAAAAAAAAAAAATACAGAAATACAAAAGCAATGAAACGGAAATGTAAAACTCACTCATTAAAACTTATTGCAGTACTTTTTAAGACTTTGTTTGCTTACGTTTTTTCAGATCATTATTATATTTCGGAATGTTGCATAACAACTTTTTTTTTCTCATGAATACAATTATAAAGTTTTACATATTACCAAGTTATAGATACATTTTCCTCATTACCGTAATGATGATATCTTACTTAGCACATTATTTTCATTCCTCATTGGAGGGGCAAAAATATTCAGCTGCGTTATAGTGATGTGGGTGGGCTCAATTTCACTTAAAGTCCCCAAGCATGCTTCCTTGCCTATAGAGTGTTACCATCAAGCATCAGTTCATCAGCGCTGAAACCTAATTATGTGTGTCTATGGGCATCACCAGGTGGAAGCTCTTACTTTGTTTCGAGGCCACCTATATGGTATGGCTTACTGGAAAGAGTGCAGCGTAACTACAAGCTGCATATAATCGTCTCTGTGCTGTGATAATCATTTCAATGCCACAAAGAAGCCTGTTTGCAAAGGAGGCAGATAAAGAAGTGACTATTTTTGGGCAGTTGTTTACTTGGAGAGGCGTTTGCTTACTCTAAGGCATCTTGTTCCCAAGAGTTAAGTGCACACTTGTGCAGTTTAGCTTTGGTGTTGTTGTCTTCAGGATCTGTGGTTGAGATAGAGTTCAGTTCTCTTCTGCAGTCCTTGCAGCTCTCTGAACAAAAAAAGTCTTTTCCCCCAAAGTGAGTTATTGTGTCCCAATAAATGCAGCAGCTGGGTTGTGTGGTGAAGAAGGAAATTGCAGTCATTCCTGGGGATTTATTTGTTGCCTTGTTTGTATGTACTGTACATGTTTGTGTCTCAGAGTCTATGCCGCGTGTCCGTTTGAAAGGTTCTTTTCTTTTGAAGTCCTTTTTTTTTTAACCTTTCTGGAAAGGAGAAACAAAACTTGACTTTTAGCAATTGATGCGCATCTTAACTTGCTTGCCTAACTTTCCCATAAAAGTATATTTACTTAATAGCTAGTTTCCGAGAGGTAAATATTGTAAGGGCTCGGTAGAAAAAGGATATTTGATACTTGCCTTTAGTGTGATGTTAATGATGTTAACATGCTGATGCTTCGACATACAGTATACGCTTGGTGCTTTAATGACCTGCTCTGACCCAAGCTGTCTTTATTTAAAGCTTCAACATAGCACTCATGTTTCATTGACTCTGAAATTCCTAACCTCTCACTTTCCTTCTTCGCCCCTCCCGTCTTGTGCCCTCTCGTCACAGGTATGGCCTCGCAAGTGCAAGTGTTCTCCCCTCACACTCTTCCGTCAAGTGCCTTCTTTAGCGTGAAGAAACTGAAGGTGGAGCAGAGTTGCAACTGGGATATGACAGGGTACGGCACACACAGCAAAGTCTACAGCCACAACAGCAGCAAGAACGTGTCGGCCGTCAGCGGCCCCCTCGGAATTAACAGCTCCCTGCAGGTAGCCGGCTCCACCTTGCCGTACGAGCAGGCGCTCATCTTCCCAGCAAGTGCAGGCCACATTGTGGTCGCATCAGCCAGTAGCACTTCGGGGGGCGTCGGCGCTTTGCTGGGCAGCGGGGGTGGAGGCAGTAACGGCAGCAGAGGGGGTGGCGCCGGCAGCGTTGTTGGGGTTCACAATCTGATTCGCCGCAGCACGGTCAGTCTCCTGGACACCTACCAGCGATGTGGGCTTAAACGCAAGAGCGAGGAGCTTGACCACAACAGCAGCGTGCAGATAATCGAGGAGCACGGTCCGCTGATGATCCAGAACGGAGCAGCCAGTGGCGCCACGGTGGCTACAGTGGCCACCGCGGCCTCCACGGCAACATCCAAGAACAGCGGCTCCAACAATGAGGGGGACTACCAACTGGTGCAGCATGAAGTACTCTGCTCCATGACCAATACATATGAAGTGCTGGAATTCTTGGGACGGGGAACATTCGGACAGGTGGTGAAGTGCTGGAAGAGAGGCACCAACGAGATTGTGGCCATCAAGATCCTAAAAAACCACCCGTCGTACGCCAGGCAGGGTCAGATCGAGGTCAGCATCCTGGCGCGTCTTAGCACGGAGAGCGCAGATGATTTCAACTTTGTGAGAGCCTATGAGTGCTTCCAGCATAAGAACCACACGTGCCTGGTGTTTGAGATGCTAGAGCAGAACCTGTACGACTTCCTGAAGCAGAACAAGTTCAGCCCGCTGCCGCTGAAGTACATCAGACCCGTTTTGCAGCAGGTGGCTACGGCGCTGATGAAGCTGAAGAGTCTCGGTCTGATCCACGCTGATCTGAAGCCGGAAAACATCATGCTTGTGGATCCGTCTCGGCAGCCCTATCGAGTCAAAGTCATTGACTTTGGCTCAGCCAGCCATGTCTCCAAAGCTGTCTGCTCCACGTATCTACAGTCCAGATACTACAGGTAAGCGTTCGGCGATTAAACATTCTATTGATCTCCCTGAGTTTATTCATGATCCTTTTACTGGAGCAATGGTTGTATTTCTGAGTCTTGTTTGAATTCGTCTTCCGTCCATGGCAACGATTTCAAAGCAAAGCCGACTTTTGGGCCATTCACAGTAGTTGGTGCAACTGAAGTCTACAACACCGCTCATTGTGCTTTTGTTTTGGGAATCGCTAATCTCTTCCATTGTGGGATGCGGATGTTGATTCGCAATGATTATGCATGGTGTGTGTGTGTGTGTGTGTGTGTGTGTGTGTGTGTGTGTGTGTGTGTGTGTGCGTGCGTGCGTGCGTGCGTGCGTGCGTGCGTGCGTTGGGTTCGAATTTGGGCAATTTCTGTTAAAAAGGTAATTGTGATGAATCACTTTTAATATTAGACTGACATTGAGGAAGGGCGGCCCGGTGGTCCAGTGGTTAGCGTGTCGACCTCATAGTGCAGAGGTACCGGGTTCGATTCCAGCCCCTGTGTGGAGTTTGCATGTTCTCCCTGTGCCTGCGTGGGTTTTCTCCGGGTACTCCGGTTGCCCCCGACATTCCAAAAACACGCATTGCAGGCTGATTGAACACTCTAAATTGTCCCTATGTTGTTCGTCTCTGTGTGCCCTGCGATTGGCTGGCAACCGGTTCAGGGTGTCCCCCGCCTACTGCCCGAAGATGGCTGGGATAAAGCAGATTGGAAAATGGATGGACAGTGAGGAAAATACGTCTGTTTTAAAGTCATGTTAAGATTTTACAATGAGAGCCTGTCTTATTGAAGAAGGCGCCAATCATGGAGCCTGCCCAGGGGCCTGCTTCCCACTGCCCAGTTTTCCCGTGGACCTTCAGCCTCATCACCATGGAGGGCTCCCATTTCCCCTGAGATAAAGATGAAGGGGTCAGCCTGAGTTCTCCTGTAATATGTGGCTGTAATCCACACCAGTGCGTCCTGCATTAGAACCAGATGACTTCCTGGAAGATCTTCCTGTCTTGTAACTCTCACACATCCCTTTTAACCCCCCCAAAAAAGTGCTTAGGTTTGAGCTGAGGCAGCGTTCGGCAATCAAACAGCCTTAATGTTCACACAAAGAGACACTTGAGCTGCGCTCAGGGACCCGGCCTGGTGTTGTCGCTGAGGCAAAGGAAATAGCAGGTGTGTCAGCACGACAGTATTTCTCATGTCGTTTATGATCATACCTACTCAAAACAAACACATAACCACAGGCACATGCCAGGTGGTTGTCATATGAATGTCAAGACTAGTGATCATTCTCTTAACATTTGGGGTATTTTTCACGACATGTTCATGTTAGCGTCTTGTTGAACCATTTTCTCGCATGCAAACAATGTTTGCTAGGTTTCTGACAAGAGCTAGTCTCTCAAGTCCAGTGTTTTCCAACCTTTATTGAATGAAGGCAAATTCCACTGGCATCACGACATAACCTCCAATGTCACCAGTTGGTAAATTTTTTTTCACAAGTCTACACTACATGAGGGATCTCCTTAAAAGTGATGATTTGGAGTTATGAGCATTCCGCTCGACGCCAGCAATATTTTACATTGAGAATAAATCTCACTCCTCATCACCAAATAAACATATCTCAAAATATCCAGTAGATACACAGGTTCATTTTTCTGCCTGTCATTGCAGTGCATGTCGCTCGCCTAGATTGATAGCTGAACAAAGATATGTTATTTGTAGTAAAGAACTGATTTTCAGACCAGTTAAGTGAAATTGGATAATTTATCACAGTACACCTGTTGAGCTCTCGTGGCACACTAATATGCCACAGCATAGTAGTTGGGAATCACTGCTCTTACTCGGTGCACCACTTCGAGCAGGCCACATGTATCATCCGCCTCCTGCAATTCATTTGTTGTCATTGTGCCTTTTCTGGAAATGGCTTTCTTCAAACTTCTCATCCTCCGGAAAAGTATCAGGTAAAAATACTCCATATACAAACACGTATAGGCCAATTCAATGTCTTGCTAGAGCTACACCAGCTCCAATACGCATTGCATGTGCGCATCTTGTAGTCAACTTTCCTACCCGTTATCTGTTGTTGCTCGTCAGCAGTATTGCAGGTCAATAATGAGGCCGTAAAATGTTCTGGTTTGTTTTGAGGTGGCGCACTGAGAAGGGCAGAGAAGCAAGTTCATCCTTTCATTTCCTCTTTGGGAAGCAGCAGATGGGAAGGAAAACCAAAAAAAAAAAAAACCTCTAGATCAAGGCCTCTGTGACCCTGATGTGATGTGAATGTCCTTTTTTGGTGTGTTCTTTAGTCACTCTTGAAAGGCCCACTACTTTGTATAATTGTCACTGTGGTGTTGATTGATTTTGATGACTGAGGCGAATGAGCTCATGGAAGATGGTCAGTGCATCATGTGAAGTTTCGGCAACATCTACACTTTGACTGCGGGTACATTTCACAGGGTGTTCAAAGGTTCAGATGAGTGCGTTAAACTCTCTTTGATGGCTTCAGATGAAAAGATAACAGGATGGTTGCTGGTGAGTTGTGTGGTTCTCTTTCAGGTTACTGACTACACACGGCTGTCATTTGGCAGCTTAGCTAAGACGGGTTTTGTGTTACTTTATTTCCCCACACATTAGCCAAAACATTCCCCTTTCATCTTTTTGAGCCTACTGGAATTAAATCGCCTTTGTGCACTCATGCTTTATTTTTGTTTTTATTCCCCCTGCCAAGTAGTGTTTAGGATTGATGGGGTGAACTTGGGTAATTGTGAAATAATGGTTAAGAAGAATTGTAGGCACTCCATATTTGCATTTTCCTCCACATTCAATTGTCTTACTGTTGACACAAAAGTAAGATTACATTCAAGCCCATTATGGATATTACACCCACAGAGTTGTTATGACAATTTTTTTTTTTTACATCCATTTGCTGAATCTTTTGTAGCCATCATTCACTGATGTTTGTACTTTTCATGTCATACATAAAGCGTGCTTGTTTATGTTCATGTACACACTAAAGGAGCCTTTTGCAAATGAGTTATGGATTTTCCACAACGTTGACTTATGCAAAAAAAAAAAAAAAAAAAAATCAAGCTTGCTACATACGAGAGCAGCTCACGGGGTCCTTCCAGTTTCGGTTTTGTTTGTTTCAGTGCCTCATGAATACATGGTTGTGGGGCTGATGAAACTGTAATATTACCTGCTATTTTGAATTTGCTTCAACCACTTCATGAGGTAGCTACACATTCTAATGAAATTATCATTATCAGTTTTGATTGACATAAATATGTTATTTCAACAATATATTTATGATTATCGACGTAGTGCCCAGGGTAGGACTACACTGTAACACACTGAGGTGGGTTTAATGTCCTGGCTACTTCCTCTTGTGGCCCAATCCTGGTCCTATATGTACCTCCTGTCCTCTGCCTGCTTATAGCAGGTGATGTAAGAGGCAAGCCTTCTCATCAAGCTTATACCTCTCCACGTAAACGGATTATTGTCTTGTCTCAGTTGGCTTTTTCCGATATGCATCATCAGACAAGCGTCCTTGAGATACGGTAGTGGAGATGGAATACAGTGAGACATGCAGTGAAGAAAATGAAGGAAGTTGATTTTGTGGTGACAGCTGATGACGGAAGGGAGACATATTTAGTCAGTCAATGACAGTGATGTGCTTTGTTCCTGTGCTTTTGTCTCTGATTTTAGATTTTCAGAAATCCGTTGCCACGATTTCCACCGGGGACTCGACACCTTTTGCTAGGAATTAATTTTGCAAGTGAATGTGGTGCTTTCAAGGCAATTATTCCAGATAATCCTCACAACCTGATGTCAGCAGTTTAGGTGAGTTTAGGAGATGTGGAGATTATTTAGAGAAACAAGGAATTGTCAGGGCAACGGACAAAATTGCATTCATCCCAAAACAAACATTTCTGCCTTTGATTATTCTTGATGATGTTAATCACTCATAGTCATGTTCTTGACTGGTTTAAAACAGGGTAGCTTGATCTAATAATTGCAACTCATAATTGTATGACTAACTTTATAAGTGTAAATAGAAATGTTATAACTTTGTAAAGGTATGCATGTTTCCATACTGCACATTTGGGTACATACATATGCAGCAAGTTTGAGGTGAAATGTAAACGACTTATACTTCCATTGTAGGGAATGTATATGCTGTCGCTATCTCTTGCCATGTGCGGCACATATACATGCACAAGGCAAATACATTGTAGCCCAAATAGCACAAAGCACATAACACTTCAAGGATTATGTATTTTTTTTATCAGGTTGTAGGCGTAGTTTGGTGGCTTGTAGGCACGTTGTAGTGGTAGAAATGGGCCAAGTTATTATATATACCAGAAAGGAAGCTGTTCCTTGGTTGCATCAGCTCGCCTGCATTTTAGCCACGACCAAAAATTCTTCAACTGGGAAGGTAAAAAGAGTTTTACGCTGTATCTCAGAAATTCAGGCGAGCTTGCTAACTCGTTACCATGCCGCAACCGGCAGATGTAAACAATGCGCCACTGGATGAACAAGTGGTTTTCTTTTTCTTTTTTTTAAATAAAGTTTATTTGACCAGCTATGTTGTTGTGTTAATACTGTGACACATGATATGGGTCACTGGCTGCGTGGAGAATTGTGGGATTATTTGTATGATTTGCATATGGACATTTGTGCTTCATAGCTCAGGTTTTGATGTGCAATCCCCTGGGGCAATTTTGACACCAAATTGGTCTTTCATCGGATTCGCAAACATGGGGAAAATTTGCCACGCCACTCTCCGTTTCAACTCCTCATTGGTGATATGGCGAATGGGGAGCATGCGAACGGGGAGCATGCCCCCTGCCTGTAATACACTCACATGTGGGCAAGGATAGCCACAATCTACACATGCACTTTCAGCCATTAATTGAACAGAGAAACAGGCAAACACACAAATACAAAAGCCAGGTACTCCAGGTACTGATGTTACTCATGAGTCTACATCCCTTAAGGCACGCATTCCA